GTAACTTTCAGAGAGTTGGTCTACTCGGCTATTATGTCTTTATACTGGTGGCTGAAAAAGTGCAAACCGGATTTGCACACATATCGTTAGCATTTGTTTAATGATGCTCACAATTCTTAGGACTTGGCACATGTACTTTGAGGGTGGGCAAGTTAAAGAGCAAAACAAATGCCTTAAAGCAGGGCTGTCAAACTCGTGGCCTGTGGGCCAGATGCGTCACATGGTGGCCAAGTCCACGCCCAGTTTAGCGAAGGGAAAAAAAGTCACGATATGTCATGTGACACTGCCATGACAAAGCAAGTTTGACTCTCCTGCCTTAAAGCTTGAAGGTCCTTAAACCAAAGCTTGGTAAAGTTGACTGAATTTATACCTTGTGCAGTTACACCTGAGGGGAGAAAGTAGGGTTGTGCTCCCAGCATCTTGGGGATTTTGGCCTTTTGGTTGTTACCTTCACCATGACTCTGAAGGCAAAGAGGTGGGAAGAGTGGTTGTTCCAGGCACTCTTCTTGGGCTCTCTCATTGACCACCTTTCTCTGCCTTGATGGGAGGCCACTGTGTACAGATCATGCTTCCCTGTTCACATCACATACAGGGGGGGAAGGGCAGGAATGGCTGCAGTTGGGGCATCAGCCCACTCTTGCAATCAAAGGACTGTGATTTATTAATTCAAGTCTCCTTATTCGGACATCATACGAGACTGCAGTCTAATTGTTGTTCACCAGTTGGAAATGGATCTTGATTTAACAAATCACACTTCCCTTCCATTGTGTTTGGGTCTGCAGACAGAGTCGAGGAGGGGAATGAGGGAGGCATGCTGAAACCCAAAGCTCTTTCTGCTCTGAGATTGCCTAATTTGGGCCATGGGATTATTTAGGCCAGACAAAAACTCAGGGCTGGGCAGCCAATTCTTGCTGGAGCCTGCCCATTATCAAAGCAATTAAACCCAGGAGTGCATTATTTTGGAACAATATGGTTGTTCTATGTTCCTTAGAAACTGGCAAACATACTGATTGGGATAAATATAGTATTGCTCTCACTAGCAGTCTGCTAGGTTGTTATATATAACTGATTATTTACTTTCAGCAGATAATTATATCTTATAAACAGAGAGCAAGGAAAAAACCTAACAATTCTCTTGCCATCCAGGAATAATGAGATAATTATTTAATTCCCACATGCTGGTTCTTTATTAGAGGGAACAGAAAATCCTGCTTGCATATCAACAGCACCTCTTTCTCTGTCAACCAGGTAGAATAAGTTAAATTTTTAGAGAGTCTTATATTATTTCAAAGAGATGCATCATTTTCAAAACTAAACATCATTGTAATATGTATATGTTGCACAAGCAATTTTTTTAAAAGTAGAGGTATGTACCATAGAATTAAAAGCCACATTTAAGGCCAGAGCAACACGCAGGTATTGCTTCTGAGGTAAGCATGAGGTAGTTGTTTGCTGTAAACAGAAATAATTATATTCTTCCCTATATTAACAATGTGGCTTAGAAATTCAGGAATGGGAATACATTGCCCTGCCCACAACCCTGAAGGTCAGCCATGCTTGTAATGTGTTCAGTTCACTACAAGGAAAATATTATGCAAAAAGTTGATATCTGAGTCATAAGAAACTCATTAGTAAACAGAGGTAGTTATTATCATTAGCACATAATATGTATATAATAGCACAGTATGTAGCAGTATCAAAGCATTTTTGTTTGTTCTGAACAAGCAATCAATCTGTAAAAGAAAAACAATAATTACATGCCATTTTCCCTGAGCAAGGTTCTTTGTCCTGAGAAGGATATTTTGCAATAGTGACCATCCTCCAATATACAAAAATAAAATGTAAACTTTTAATAATAAGATAGATCTGCTAGGCTCTCTTAGCAATTTAGTCTGTGGCTGCTGGAATTACTTATTTCACTCAAAAAAAAAAAAAGTAGTTCTGAAATTTTAAAGTAGCTAAACAGAGAATGGCCTGTTTTCAAATCCACCATTTCCATATTACTCTCTAAATAAAGGTCAACAAACTTTGGTTTATATTTTCAAAGTGACCTTACCCTTGCCATTGTTACTGTTTTATAACCATTATTATACCTATGAAAAGATTAGGCAATGCCACTTTGATTTGTCTACATAACTTAAATAAGTTTACAATCCTTGCATAGGGCAAGGAAGTAGTTCTCTATACATACATCACATTCAGTATCGTCAAAACAAAAACAAAACAAAATCCAAAAAACCAAAACACCCCGTTTTGCACTGAGGTTCACTGAAAACATCCGTATAAACAACCAAGATTCTTCTTTCCCTCCAGCACTGCCATGGATTCCAAGCAAATTTCCATCATCAGAGTTAGGCTTACTTTTAGGCCACTGAGCCATTTTCCTGAAGGAAAGTGGGATAGTGGTGACAGCAGTATAAGCAACAATATTTAGAGGGTTTTCCCCCCCCCCTGCAGGTAATAATGTCGTCTCAGATTGAGCAGAGCCTACAGAAACAAGCCCTGAGATTCTCAATGACTTAACCTAGGCGTGTCCAATCCATGGCCCACAGGCCACATGCAGCCCTGGACGGCAAGTAATGCGGCCCCACAAAATTGTAAACTTTAAACCTTATTATGTGATTTATATACATTAACTAAATTGTATATTTTATATGGGACCAAAGACAATTCCTCTTTACTCAATGCAGCCCAGGCAAGCCAAAATGCTGTACACCCATGACTTAATCGAAGAAAATCTGAAGATTTGGTTCAAATTATATTATGAACACAGATCTCTTTTACTTATATTTGCTTTTACATTAATTTGCCAAATAAATTAGGTAAAGTATTTCTTCAAAATTAATTTTAAAAGGAAGAAGCAATGGTCCACAGGACTTAACATCTAGCTCATATGTCTTTTGACGGTATCAACAGCAGCAGCTGCTCCAAAATTGGTGAAATGGGTAAGAAATTGATTCTAGCTCATTCTTGGGAGAGTGGAAAAATTGTGATAATTTGATCCTGATCAAATAATATTGTAATGGATGCCCCAGAAGTCACTTGGGACAACAAGGAAGACCTGGTTTCAGGAACTTCAGAGAGGGCCAGCTGGAGTAGGAGGTGACCTGTATCATAGACTCTAGATGGTTGCAGTACCTGATCAACTGGAAGGGGCCCTAAGGACGTATCCTGGGAAGATGCTGAGGCCATGCATGCCCCCTATCTGGCCTGCTAGTTCCACCTCTGGTGTCTATGGAAACTGATCCATGGAGGTCGAGGGGGGGCAGGCCATGCTAGGGGGATAGTGTAATGGATGCCTCAGAAGCTGGTTCAGATGACGAAGAAGAGCTGGCATCAGGAAGGGGTGGGCAAGAGCAGGAGGAGAAGCCAAGAAAGCTGGAGGAGTGTGACTGGACAAGCAACTGAGAATTGGACTCATTGGATTTTGCGCTGGTTCCTGTGTGAGGTGAATCCTAGGGAATACTATTCGGGGCAGACGAAGCCTCAATAAAGACTTCAAACCCTTGTGGTACGTGCGCATATGAGCAGGACAGGACAAATGTATTGCCAGTTACCTGGCTTTCTAATTTCCATTTCTAAAAACAAATTCCCTAAATTCCAAGCACCTGGGCAACTCTGTAGGCTTTTAAATAATTCAGCATGTACACAGACTGTAATTACTGTTACATAATATAGCAATTAAATAAGTTTAAGACTGCAATCCTATACACTATTTTTTCTTTTCTTGAGGCCACCGAGATCTTTACACAGGATTGCACTGTAAATATCAAATATTGATCTTTGGGAAGTTAAAAGTCCCAAACCCATTTCTTAGAAAGACCTATAGAAATCTGTCCAGTGACACGAACACTAAATTGGAAGATGCTACTGCTGCCACCACCACCACTTTCATAATCCTCAAGATTTGCACTAGATGAGTGCAATCAAGTTTTGCAAAAGGGGAGTCCAAATGGCGTCTCAATATCACTTTAAACCATTATTTTAACATATACATTTTCCCATGCAATCACCTAACCTGTATATAAGTCATATTGAGTTGATACAGTATTTCAGATAACACATTCATTGTCTAAGGGGAGGGCAAGGAAAAAAGGAGAAGATCCTTTAATTCTTTAAAACTTTGTGGCAAGTCTGAGGCATCTTTAAACCAAGGCATTACCCTCTCAAGTTAAGAACTAAGAACTTTCTTCCATCTTTTCCGCTGAGGGAATTACAATTTCCCTGAATCCTACAAGGATGTATTGATCTATTCAGTACCGTGGTTATGGTGACTCTATATACTCAGGAAAGTATGGTTACAATTCTTTCCCTCCCCTTTTCTTTCTCTTTTATAATTAAAAAAGGCATCATTAAAGAAAAAAATTCATTTAAAACTCAAAACTATTACTTTCCCATGAATTCAAGAATCATAGTATTTAATGTATACATTCAGGCAACGGGCTAGTCTGTACATCAAAATATCAGATGGTTTATTGTGACAGGAATGAGTTTCTGTGCACAATGGGTATATGTGCTGCTTCCCAGCCCCTGGATGGCTGTGAAGAAATTAAAAAAAACTCACTTCCATTTCTTATTAATTGCTGTTTAGAATTAACAAATACTATAACTGTTCCCCCCCCCCCCAAACTAATATGGTTAAGATAAACCACAGAAAACTTAAGCAGCTAAGGAAGCATAATCTTCCATCATTCTATAGGGCTGCTCTGGAAAAGAGGGGAAGAAGCAAAGAATATATGCCCAACAATAATTTAGGCTAAGTTTAAAAATCATATGAGATCTTGATGCCCAAACAGTTTAGAAACCCATTAGCCATTAAACTCATCTGAAATTTACTTGGAGTGACTGGTTTGCTTTGGTTTTTTGTTTTCAAAAGACCTCTGGTCCACAACAGTAGTTAAAATTTGAGGTTTGTTGCAGGATAATACGTGAGATTATTCTCCTTGTGCTTGAATGAGGTAGACATCCCAAGAGGTAATGAAAGGCAGTGACAAAGCTTTTTAAGTCTTTTTTCTTTTTTGAACTGATGGTCCCTTCCGGTTTTGCTCTTCAGGCGATGGAGAAAACTTACTTGAAGCAGCTTCTTGAGGTGACTTTCCTGAATGCTGTAAGATATCTGGCCTTCCTTCTAGAGAATAGGATGGAGAAGTGTAGCCATAGGCTCCTCCTCCTCCTTCCCTCAGGAAGGCTGATGTGGATGGCTGAGTGTCAGCTTCATATCTTCCCTGGTAACTCGTGGGCTGCTGTGGAACAGTTTTAAGCGGACAGTTTGCCACCATGTGCATGATGCTCTGACAGTAATGGCACTTCTTTGGCTGTGGAGGTAGAATACATTCCTTAGCATGATGATCGAAGCCACCACAATTGTAGCATCTGCAAAACACAAACAGGGAGATATATATACTTTTACTGAATAGGCTCACAAAAGAAATGTTTGATTCTCAACTTTAAATAATAGCAATAGGCAAGGAGACCATTATCACCAAATTTGGAAATGTAAAGTCCTTGAAGGATAACCATGGTAAGAGGGGGGGAGGGAAATCAATTAAAAAAGATGCATCAATTTATTGTCACTGCTGATTTTTGTTTCACAGAAGTTAAAAAAAAGAACAACCTGTAAGCAAGTTTTAAAGCTCAACAGCCTGCAATTGCCATCTCTTAGATTTTGAGATAATTGAAATTGGATTGGATTTTGAAGTTTTTTAAATTTATTTGTATCCCGCCTTTATTATTTTTACAAATAACTCAAGGCCACACCACATCCAACACCTCTTTCTCCTCCTATTTCTCCACAACAACCCTGTGAGGTGGGTTTAGCAGAGAGAATGAGTGGCCCAATACAGTGGTGGGATTCAAATTTTTTACTACCGGTTCTATGGGCATGGCTTGGTGTGCGTGGCAGGGGAAGGATACTGTAAAATCTCCAGTCAGAGGTAGAATTTGCTGGTTCTCCGAACTACTCAAAATTTCTGCTACCAGTTCTCCAGAACTGGTCAGAACCTGCTGAATACCACTTCTGGCCCAATGTCACTTACTGTAGCAGCTGGCTTTCATGGCTAAAACAGGACTTGACCTCACAGCCTCCTGTTTCTATCCTGGTGCCTTAACTACTAGGCCCAACTGGTTCTCATTCTCATGCTTCCCTCCTTGCTGGAACCACCAATACATCATCATACTTTGTCTGGGGGATACTGAGCTCTCACAGAAAGGTTTTTCCAAAGGAGAGGGAGGAACACTTTTGAGAACCTCCTGTGAAATCTCAAATGCTTCCCAGCTTTGAGGTATATTATACCAAAGTAAATTTTTTGCAAATTAGTCACAGCAAAAGCATTACTGTGAGAACATTACAGAGCTCAAGAAAAATATGTGAGGGTTGTGGGTGTTTTGAAAATATCTAAACCAAGATAAAGGAAATGGTTTTCTTGTGAATAAGTTACTGAGAGAAAGGCAATGTGAAGGACAGGTTGCTGTGATTCATTGAGTAATTATCTGTGCATTTACAGATATGGATTTGCATCTCTACATCTTTGCATCTCATCAGAGCTCATTAGAGGGAAGAATGTTGGCAGGAAGACCCCTGGTCCTCTCTGCATTTCCAGAGTGGGTGAATGTGGGTGTTGGCGCATCAAATCTGGATTGTAGGGAGCTTTTTTCAAGGTCCTTTCTAACTCTGAATAGTCACTAAGTAACTGATCGTAAGTTGGGGACATTGTGTACTATGTCTCAACTATCATGATGAGGAACTCTGTGCTAGGTAAAACCCATATATGCAATGCAGAAAGAAAAAGTCATGTAGAAAAAAAGAAGATAAAAGAAACGTACTTCCAATAAATAATTATTTTGTGTGATTTTATTTTTAATCTGTTTCAGGATAACCCACTAGAGGGCAGCAACCATCTGATCATTCCCCTCATCCTTGAAGTGCTTTAAACTGTTATTTCAAAAATTATTGTCAGAGGAAACCAGGTCATTTTAACAACAGTTTTAAAGATGAAGAAAGGTATGATCAAAATCATATTTCAAGAAATATGCTTCTACACCGTATACATTAAAGTATCTT